CGCGCGGGCATATTCCATTTAGCACGCCAGCCGGTCGTAGGCAGACGGTCTTGCGACGAAGCAACGCAGCGCCGAGTCGGAATGCCTGCTAGGCCTATACGCTTCGTCGGAGTCGGTGAATCCAGCGTTCTTGTTCGTCGTGGTCTGTTTTAAGTACTGTTTTCTTGCTGCTTGAAGTCGGCACGCGCGGGAAGAACACGTAGAAAAATAAACGTTCAGTCAGTCAGAGTTTTGAGAGGAAGGAAAACAAAGAAAATAAATGTTCGTCGGTCGCCGTCACCCAAGTAACTGGCGGCCCTGCCCTACTGCGCAAGCGCAGTAGTTGCTTCGTTTACCACACGATAGATGGCGCTTGGCTCTCAGCATTATCAAATTTGGCAATTTTCGCCACACATCTCTAATTATGCTACAAAATGTGGATCTGAATATTATTTAACAAAACTTTTAGGAAACATTCGCCGGCTATTTATTGTTTACGATCGCGGTGCTGGTGAGGTAGGCTCTTACCCAATAGGCGATGTGGATTCGGCTGACGTGCACCGATTCTGCGTATGCATCGTAGTGAACAGGCGAAGGAAGGAAGGCGCAAAAGAGTCCAGTTTTCTTTTAAAAGTTCTATAGCAAATAATTTTTTTGGGCTCCCTATTTTTGTGTTTTTGTGTTTCTTTTCACACCTTTTACGACGTGCGGTGGATGAAACTCGATTTTAAAATCATTTCATGGTCCCTTTAAGATGCTTGACCCAATACACCACCTTGGACTACGACTTTCTACAGGTGCATTTCGCACATCTCCTGTGAAGAGTTTGTATGTTGATACGCATCAAATGTCCCTCGAGAAGCGGAGGCAGTACCTCAGCGTCTCTTATGCTTACAAAGTATTTTCAAATCCAAAACATCCCTCCTACATTGCCCTTCATACTTTGCAGAAGCTCACAGCTTTTTGAAAACAAGCTGAGCATTGTTAGACCATTAAGCCTCCGTTTGCAAAGTACTTGTCAATCCCTTAATATCCCCCTTCATGAGATTCCCTTGCTTAAAAACACTCGTAGGGTTGCCCCTTGGGATGCTCTGCCGGTTTTCTGTGACTGGTCACTCGCAAAATACAGTAAGAGGGTCATTTCAACATAAATTCTCCGGCAGGAGTTCCTCTCCTTGCAACAAAAATATGCAGACTACCTGGAGTTTTATACAGATGGGTCCAAATCGTCGTCTTTTGTAGAATGTGCTTTCTATTCCGCCTCCTACAGCAAAGCCACACAAGCTGACTCTAGGGCAAGCATTTTCACTGGAGAGCTTTATGCTATTTTACTAGCGGTCGAACATATACTCGACAATAGTATTATGAAAGCTGTAATTTTAGTCGACTCGCAAAGTGCCTTATTGGCTGTGTCCTTCCTGATGCCCACAAAGAACCGCCTTGCACTACATCTACATGGTAAGGTCAATAGCGTCCTGCGACGCGGTCGGGACATTAAATTCTGCTGGGTGCCAAGCCACGTTGGGATTTTGGGCAATGAAGAGGCGGATAAATTGGCCGATCTGCCCAAGGCTCGTCTATAACATTCCATTGCTTACCTTACCAAGACTTGAAACCACTTCTGAGGAAATCTATTTTTCTCAAATGGCAGCTGGAATGGGATACAGAGAGCAACAACAAACTTCACACTATCAAGCCCGTTCTGGGCGTTTGGGAGAGCTCTTACAACAGGGAACGTCGTGTGGGGGTTCTTCTATGCCGTCTAAGAATAGGTCACTCCCGTGTGACACATCAGTATCTGCTTCGTGGTGAGGATGTTGCACTATGTGAACATTGTGGAGAGCTTCTGACCGTGTTGCACATTTTGTGGCATTGTTCGTCCCATCAACCACTCCGTCAATCATGTTTTCTCGAACTTTTTAGGGATCATCTCCCATTTCATCCCTCTTTTTTGCTTGGTGATAAACCTTTAGTTCCATTCAGCCGTGTCTTAGACTTTTTAAAACAAACTGGATATTTATACCATTTGTAAATATGTAGCCTCAAAGTAAACTTTTGTTATAATATGCTCGAAATACGTTAAGTTTGGCGCATTATGGCCCTCGTTGCTGCTGCGCCAATAAACTCCTAATCATCATCATCATCATAAAGCAATTTGCAGACAAATTTGAAGGTCTAACAAAAAAAGTAAATCAAATTGAAGCAACAGTTCAAGAAATGAAAGAACAAAAGGTTAAAATCATAAGCATTGAAAAACATGTTAAGGCAATCGATGATGACTTGAAGGAATGCCAAAAAAAAATCGTCGACTTAGAAGATCGGAGCCGCCGTAACAATCTCGTGGTTTTTGGTCTTCCAGAGGCTCAAGGGGAAACAAATGACTCATTGCGGTCAAAAGTAGTTGGTGATGTGTTTGAAGAAAAACTTGGAATTCATGTTAATATAGTCGAGCGTATACATCGCGTGGGGCGAAAATCAAACAAAAACCGCCCAGTTGTAGTTAAATTTCTGGACTATGCAGAAAAGGAAAACGTGCTAAAAAAGTGAAGGTGTTTGAAAGGGACTAAAATAACGCTAGAACACGATTATTCTTGGCAGACTATTCAAAGGCACAAACAATTGTGGAAAACCAGTAAACCCAATTGCGATAACGGGGAAACTGTCTTCTTGATTCACGATAAAATTAAGATAGGAGGCCAAATTTTCAAATGGGATGATAATGGTGGGGCAAGTGTGCAAGTAAAAGAAATCGACCAACTCGACAAAAAAGTGTAAAATGACGTCAAGCACACTCCGGGAAACCCCACCGAAAGACGTTTCGACTTCTTGCCTTCAATGCGCAAAGTATTGTGAATAAAGTAGATGATTTGGAAACAATCTTGCTAACTCATGACCCCGACGTGGTCGTCATCACGGAAACGGGGCTTCACACTGGTATTGGTAATAATGAAGTTAATCCGCCTTGTTACAAAATGATTAGGAAAGACAGAGGGTCAAGGGGCGGCGGCATGGCTATTATCGCAAAAAGTTCGGTGGACCTGGTACCATTAGATTGCGTTGTCAACGGGGAGGTGCTATGGTGTAAGATTAAAGTTCACGGTAACGTGTTTGTTGTTAGTGCTGTATGTAGGCCACCAAACACCGCCCCGAGGTTTTTAGAAGAATTGTGCGATTACATGGCGTTGTGCTTCAATGACAAAACTAAAATTATTTTGACTGGAGACTTCAATCATGCTGATATTGATTGGGCAAGGCAAAAACTAGGTAAAAATGAAATGGCGTCCTCCGAGCTTTTGTTAGATATAGCACTCAGTTTTAATCTTGTGACAGCCCGACAAGAGTAACAGATACGAGCCAATCAATTCTGGACTTACTTTTTGTTAGCAACATAGTGGAAGTGGATAAAGCACATGTGCTCGTCGGAGTGTCAGATCATAAAATGCTGTCAGAGATTTTCAAAATGCTGATGATGTGTCCATCCTCGATTATTTAGATGAACATTTTGACCATTTTAGTCAGTTAAGTGATGTTACCGAATTATGGAAAACATTTAAGAGTATTGTTTCCTACTGTACATATCACTTTGTTCCGACAAGGGACGTGAGAGCACAACGACATCACCCATGGATAACAAGAGAAATTTTGCAAATAAAGTGAAAGATCAAGCGCAAAAGGAAAGTAAAACAAAATTCCTCAGACATTGCAAATTTGAGGCGACAATTGGGGCAATTTGGGGCGACAACAGCGGACTCTAATGGCCCAGTGAGCTGATAACAATGCCAGAGCGAAGCACATGACACTGGGGGGAACTTTATTATACCATTGTCACATGTGTGACCCAAGATCTTCAAGAACGCACATTATAAAAAAGAAATTCAAAACAACCTCATTGTTCTTTTAAGTGAAAGCATGGCGAACAAGTGCATCTCTCACAGATGCACCCACTGCCATGGGCCGTGCCCTACGAGTTCTTGCTGTTGCCGTGGGTTGAACACCATCGTCGTCCTCCTCCTCCTCCTCTTCCTCCTCCTCCTCATCCTCGGATAAGTCAACTGCAAACATAAAAAGAATCATTAAAGCTTTCCTAGTTATATTAACTCGGAATGTCAATTGTGTATAACGTGTTAGCTGGCACCCAACTACACAAACTCTGTTAGCTGGTAAACGAAGAAAGAAATGGCTTCATTCTCGTGAGCACTTCAAGGGTACCTTGCTTTTAACACTTTTAGCAGATAGCTTTCCAAAGCTCAGACAAAATGCACACTCATAGATAGGGATTATTCCATTTCCATACGCTTTTGTTCCCATGCGAGATTATTTTTGAGAGCTGTGGATGTCGGGTGACTGAATAGTGCCTGATATGTGCAATCATTGGGGATTCTGCACATTTATCTGTTCTGAATCTTAGAATCATGGGGTTGATCCCCACCTCTGCCCGTTTCAATCTAGATGAACATTTTAGTGCAAATTAAAGACCCCAGGCTTGCAGTCATACTTTGCTGGCTAAGTTGGTTATCTGCAACGAAGACAACATATGCTGTGACAACCGCTATGTCCAAACGCCGAGCTTGCTTGTTTACACGAGGCCTGGTTCAGACACTTACGTTCATCGCATTCTGAATGACTGAAACGACAGTGTATATCGTATACAATGAAAGAATAATATAACAATTAGCTTTCCTGAGCAATAATGTACCATGATCTTCCTACTTTCCCAGTCGTTGCTGATTCTTTTTTTGCTGCGGACACAATAGGCACAAATTTCTAGGGATGGGCGAATATTCGGTTATTCCGAATAGCCCATCGAATTCTGTTCTATTCGGCATTCGCCTCGAATCGAATTGAAGTATTCGACAAAATCGAATTATTCGAAAATATCGAATTATTCGACCTTTCCGAATACTCGGGCTTTGATTTCCGGCCAGGTGGCGCAAGCTTCCGACCATTTCGTGCACCCGAACTCAGTACACACCTGGCGACCGATCGCCAGCGACATCACTTCTGCCAAATCAACGGTCAAAATGGCGTCGATGGCGTGCTCTTCAGAGCGCGACCGGCTTTGTTCAGAGCCCTGCGAACGCGATTCTCAGTCCACCGCCTCGTGCTCGACGTACGCCAACCCGATTTGGAGCTTTTACTCCAAGCTCTCCGAAAAGGGTGCCGCACGCTGCGAAGCCTGTGGATCAATTTTGAAGACTCCCACCGGGACGACCACGACGTTGGTCACTCATCTGAAGAGGCATCCTGGCAAGTACAAAGCCTACCAGGTTCAGCGTCAGCGGAACCAGCGCCTGACCACAAGAAAAGATGAAACGAAACCAAATTCATCTCAGTCATCGGTGGCTACCGTCTTCAAACCAAAGCTACAACCAACGGCGCCGAAGGCAAAGGAAATGACCAAGAAAATCGCCACGTTCATCGCTCGTGCCTTCCAGCCGTACAGCGTGGTTGAAGACGAAAGTTTCATTGACATGATCAGGTATGCGATTCCTGAGTATGTTGTTCCGTCGCGGAAAACGTTTTCAAGAACTGTCATTCCAGACTTGTACGCTGCGAAAAAATCTGAACTGAAAAAGCGTATTCGAGCCATCTTCGAAGGCGCAGTCGAGTGTTACACGTTAACAACTGATGGGTGGACTTCGAGAGCGGGCGACAGTTACGTGTGCGTGACCGTTCACGTACTGGATGAAGACTTCGTGCAGCACGTGTACGCTTTAGCCTGCAAGGAAATGCCTGAAGAGCACACCGCAGAGAACGTTTTGCGCTTCCTCCGGACAGTCGTTGAAGAGTGGGATCTTCCTGACAACATCCCTATCTTTGTCGTCACGGACAATGCAAGGAATTTTGTTTCAGCCGTCGCTAGGTCGCCGTGGTTGGGCCTCCAGTGCTTTGCCCACACGCTGCAACTGTGCATTAACGACGCAAAAAAAGAAGTTGCTATCTTCTCTCAGCTTTGTGCAAAAGCAAGATGCATTGTGGGGCACTACAAAAGAAGCGCACGAGCTCGCGGGCGACTCATCGAGATCCAGAAGGACATGCACATGAATGCTCTGGAAGTGGTCCAGGATGTCTCCACTCGTTGGAATAGCGAACATTCAATGATGGAAAGATTGGTGAAACTGCGTGCCCCTATTTCTGCAGAACTTTCAGAGTCGGATTCCGTGGAGAACTTAAGCACAAAAGAATGGAAACTAATGGCTGCTGTAGTAAAAGTATTGCAGCCCCTGCAACAGGCCACGGCAGAGTTGTCGGCTGATAGGTATCCCACGCTTTCACAAGTGATTCCATTGCTTCACTGTACACATGTCGTGCTTCAAGAGCACAAAACCGGAGGTGAAGAAGCAGCACCATTTGCTTACAGTCTTGCACGCAGTCTCGCTACAAGGTTTCCTGATCTGAAAATGTCCCCTGTGCCTGCACTTGCAATGCTGATCGACCCACGGTATAAGAACATTTGCTACCTCACAGAGAGTGAAAAGAAATGGGCAAGGGCTTTGCTCACGACAACAGCAGAAGAGCTTGCGCCAGCACAGCAGGAGCATGTTCCAGACTCTCCCAGCAGTGCAGGCCCAAGTCACAGTGCAACCACTTCAAGTACAGTGTGGGCTGTTTTTGCCTCTTTAAGCTCCAGTGCACACCAGGAGACTGCACATCAACCTGCTGCTGGACAAGTGACCGACTACCTAAGTGCCCCTCTGTTACCTCGCTCAGCTAGGCCACTGGAGTGGTGGAAGACTCGTGGTAGTCATTTGTACCCAGGCCTAGTCAAGGTTGCTCAGAAGTACCTGTCCATACCTGCCACGCAAACAAGGAGTGAGAGACTGTTCTCAACAGCAGGCAATGTGGTGAGCAGCAGGCGGGAGCTGCTTCTCACGGAACATGTAGAGCAACTTGTCTTTCTTCATGACAATCTGTAACTGATAAAAAAAAAAAGACTTCCGACACAAGATGTGCCACTTCTAATAAAAAGTTATATCAAAGCTGATGTGCACCAACATTTTTCTAGCGTACGAAAAGGTTTAATGAAGTACTAGAACATGCAAATTTGCAAGTATTGCAGGAACACTTGAAATTAACAATTGCAGTACTTCTAATACCAAATAAGGGCAAATATAAAACTATAGTTCAAGCCTATCTTGGTATTTGTTGCTTGTATTATTCAAACTATTCGATTCGAAATTATTCGGCCAAAATCAATATTCGCTTCGAATTCGATTCGGACTCAAAATCCACTATTCGCCCATGCCTACAAATTTCCAGTTTGCTGGTGTACCGTGTTCAGCAATGCCTACAGCTTTATACATTTCTGCATATTTGAGTAATGCAAGCAATGCATTTGGTTGCAACACAATGCCATGAACAGTAGTTGACCAACAGACCGAGCTCACAAAACCCTCTGCATAACTGACATCGCCATAACTAGCTCACAGTGAGAGACAGCTGTGTGTGCCGTCTGGTGCTTTGCAATGCCATGCGTACACAAAACTAAATTTTCCTTTACGCACTGCGGAAGTAGTGGCATAGCACATTTCGACAGTGAGATTGGTCTATTGAAACCCCAAATACACTGCCTTGCTGCCAGGAGCGCTTAAATTGTGGAAAAGGCCTATTATATTACCTAGTGGTTCGTTGAAGGACACATGGTGGCGCATCCAGTAGTTGTGTAAAACTACGCAGGCCACAGTGATGCGGCAGCAGATCTGAGGCTTGTACTGGAGTACTCCTCCAGATTTGTCCAGGCACCTGAATCTGGACTTGAGGAGTCCAAACGTTCGCTCAGTGACCTGTCGGGTCTTCGTCAGCGCCTTGTTGTACTCTTCCTCCGGTCCATCCTTAGGTGCCCTGATTGGGGTCATTAGCCAGGGCTGCACGGAGTAGCCAGCATCCCCTGCATTATGCAAAGACAGGCTTGAATAGTAATTTCATGTCACCACATTTGACTGTCATGGTTTCTGCAATAAATACTTGTGTATACATGGCAAATATACATATATATGTGACTTGCATGTGACGTCACGAGACCACACTGGGAGTCCTTCCGACCACTACATCCTGTTGGCTCGCTGAGGCATCATAACCTACAGCCGGTCACAGGTTAAGAACGAAGTAAAAGCTCCTCCCACCCCTTTCCACTTCAGCGGAGCGAACGGTAGAGAGAAGGTCGCCTTCTCTCTGGCGTTCACTTTACTAGAGTGGAAAGAGGTAGGAGGAACTTCCGCTTCATTCTTGACCTGTCACCGACTATAGATGAGGTTCCCCTCAAACTCGCCTTTGTCCCCCCAGGAATTACCTTTTACCCCGAACTTCACACACAAAAGCAATCCTCCCCCTTACCCACTTATCCAGAACGGAAAGAGAAAGAGAAGGCAGTATTTGTGGCCACCACTGAGAGAGGATAGTGTTTGTGGCCATCAACATGGTGTCTGTAGTGACGTCGGTGCAAGCCATGTATAGTGTGGCGCTGCAATCTTGAATTGTCAATACAAAACAAAACTGCAAAGAAATGCATTTTGATCATTACTGCTTTCGGAGCACACTCCCAAAAATTTAAGACTACTGGACGATGTCTCTTACAGTTATAGTGCAAATTATTGCCTTTGTATTAGGTTTTCTTTGTGTGCAGCAATGTTCTACTGCACCCTTTCAGTAGAAACTTACCAAGCAGCCAGCCATCATGGGCAGTGCCAGCACACTTCTCATAGACGTCACAATTCCTCCACATAAAACTGTCGTGGGTGCTGCCAGGCCACTTGACAGTCAGCTGGGTCACTACGTTGTTGGCATCACACACAGCCTGGACGTTAATCGAAGTGTATCCCATGCGGTTGAGGTAAACTGGTTTGTCCTTCTTGGACACCTTGATGGCCACATGGGTGTCGTCTATGCAGCCGAGCACCCGTGGGAAGCCAGCGATCCCGAGGAAACCTGTAGAATGAGTTAAAAGAAAACAGACATGCAAGTATGATACAACTGTAATCCTGATACACTTGATTTCACCACAACATGGTGAATAGATAATGCCGTGACCTTAGCAAGCCAATCACAATGTCGGTGCGGGCATGTAAATTTGAGGGTTTACATGCCAAACCAATGAAGGGCATCTGACACGGCCCAGTGGAGTACTGACAGTCCATTTTGGCCACCTGGGGATCTTTTGATATGCAAACAAAACTTCGGCTAATGGCACGCCTCCTTCTGCGCAATAAGCCTCCGAGATATTGCGGGGACCTTAGCCAACCCGCCACCTGGGCATCTGCAGGAAGGTGCTTTGCCTAGGAGCTACAAGGGCAGCCCGGTGTGAGGCATGTGACAATGTATCGGTACTCCTCCCATGAAGAGGAATTGTATGCTTCGCATTGTTGCTTAGGTTGGCTCAAGAAAGCCGTAGCATTCGCTCGTTATCAAGTTATGCTGAGACAAGGTATAATTGCATGCTCAGCATGTGAAAACTATTAGTGCCTTAAATGGTGTACACAACCTCGTGATATGCCCCTAAGTAATAATGCAAAAACTGGCATGCTCGAGAAAGGCGGTCTCATTTCTTGTATGCACAGGACTCTGTGCTCCGTGGACTTGTAATACATGATGGGAAAAATAGCTCAGAAAACCCGGACTATGAAGAACAAACACGACAGGACAATGCTTCAATAACAGCACTGTCCTGTCGTGTTTGTTCTTCGTAGTCCGCGCTTGGTCAGTCACGCGACGGAGCACACTAGATCAAAGAGACGGGAGCGAGCGACCAAGGCGATGAGCTACATTTCTAGAAAACAAAAACAGAACGACCCGACGAGCGACGGTGAGAATTCTCCGTCGCTCGTCTCATCGCTCGCTAAATCGTTTACATGCGGTTCAGCTATTTGCTTTGGTAGTCAAGATAGATACTTTTTAGTGTCTGCGCGTGCTGTACACATAAGTGGCGGTGGACTTTGCGCCTGGATTGATATCAAGTGACGGTAGGCATACGCACTCCCGTCATGCTATTATATTTAGCGCGTTTGTAGAACAGCGACTAATATGCTCGCAATCGGTTACGTTTGCGCCGGCAGAAAAACGCCTTAGCTAACGCCGTCGTATGCTCACCGATCGAAGTGAGGGACGCTGCTCTCCGTGACGTTGGGAAGCAAATCACCTCCCCGGCTATCAGGACGAGGGCCTGGCTCACATTGTTGACGATTCGTGAGGTACTCGCCTGGCTCAGGGGGCCCACCTTGCCTACCACGGATTGGAAGCTACCGCTCGCGTAAAAGCGTAGCGCCACCAGCACCTGCACATCGACCGGCAGCGCGCAACTCCACTTTGTCGGCCGACGAAGAGTTGAGGCGACCACGTCGCACAGCCGAAGCACGGCCTCCTTCGGCAGGCGGTAGTATCGTTCTAAAATGTGCTCCGGCACGTCGTTCACCGTAATCCGAGGGTGGAACACCCGCTCGCGCCTCAAAGTCCTCTGTCCGTCGAGGCGCATCAGCCAACCGATATAGGCAGCCATGTTGGAAGAAAAGTTTGTAAGACAGCTCGGAGGCTGTCGTAGGATTCGTTCATACAGCACGCAAAAGTTACGAACATTTCGTTTCGTGAATTCGGATTTGTTCTCAGGTTTTGTCGTAAGTACTTTTTTGTTCGTAAGTTCGCTTCGTGAATCTGGCCTCAGATCGTGCGCGAGATCTCGAACGGGAATTTCCCGCACCTCCGCTCGCTCCACGGCTCGCCGAGCGCCTTCTCTTGCCGTTACCCAGGTGGCGATCTTCCGAGGCATAGTAGTATCCTCTGCTGCTGCTGCAACTGCTGTTGTAGCCGTTGCCATAGGCTTCGGCCGCGGCAGCTTCTTCTTCTCGTATTCTTCGTTCCCATTGGCGCCGCTTGACCAGGTATGGGATTTTGTATTTGGCCTTGCACTTGCGGTCTCCTGTGACGTGACCTTTGCCGCATAGGAGACACTTCGGCTCGCACCGATGTTCCGAAGGCGGGTTGCTGCAGCCGCATCCGCGGCATATCTTGTCGTTGGGGCTGGGGCACACGTCGGCTCTGTGTCCCAGCCTCCCGCACTCGTGACATACGTCGACCTGCTTCTTGTAGAGGGTGCACCTGACAAGCATCGCTCTGTAGTACACGTATCTCGGCACGTGGAAACCATTGAAAAGGATGATCACGTTGTCCGTGTTTCCCATGCGTTTGGCGTGCAGCACACTTGGATTGCGCTTCGTGATCAGGCTTCTGACGATGTCCGCCGGGGTCTCATCTTTGGAAATGCCTCTGATGAGGCCTTTAGAGGTGTTTTCCGGAGCGGCTCTGTAGGCGCTCGCCTCATATTCCCGCTCTCTGATACGGAGCTTGGTGATGGCCCCGTATTTATAGGCACGGTCTTCCGACGGCGTGCTAAGCACCACGACGTTC